AGTTCATTTTTGCAAATCTCTGCACAACAATAACGTTCTCTTGCATCATCATTTTTCCCATGAGGCACATCACTGGCCTAGGGGCGCTCCTGATAAGGATAACCTATCCACCAGTCCCATTTCATATTAAATCTCATGAGTTAGTACCATACTTTTATTTATTTATTTAAAAATAAAATAATAATTCATTCATTTGCACCCAATGAACCCCCCCACTAGGGTATATAGTTTCACGCGCTGTGATTGGTCGAGCGAACACTGATTCTGAGACGATGGCCACTGCTCGACCGTTGATTATGAGGCTTTTTCCACAATTTACCAGTTTGGAAGTAATACTAAAACGTTTTTTTTTTAATCCTGAATTTCGTCTTTTCTCTCATGTTAGAGTTTAAATTTATAATAAAAAAATTATTCACCGATAATCGCTTCGACTAACTGAATAATTGTTAAATATTCTCCCCCAACTTCTCTTTTTTTATCTCTTTTTTAGATATCAATGATTGCCTGCCCGATCCGTGCCAGAATGGAGGCACGTGTTGCTGTGATCGTGTCAACGACTTCACTTGCAACTGTCCACCAGGTTTTACGGGAAAACTCTGCGAAATAAGTAAGTAGTCTTCTGTTTTAGTCATATTTTCATAGTCTATCCTTATATATAGGTTTTTAAATTACTTTTTCTTTATATTGTCCATCCTTTGTCAAATTCGGCAATACCCAATCTCGTTTCCAGAATCGTTATCTCTTACAGCGCATGCTCAACGCGCATGTTTAGTACTCACCTTTTTCCATACATCGGTTCACTGGTCAAACACAAAGCATTCATCGAGGTTTCAAGGTTCAAGTTTGAATAATCCTTTGAAAGTACCTTGGCGACTCACTTGAGCGCTTTGTGTTTGACCAGTGAACCAATGTATGGAAAATGGAGAATAAGGGCTCGCTAAGCTTAATATGAGGGCTCTAGGATCGAGAGATCGGTGCATTTTTAAATACTGAATGTTAACTAGAAGGTAATTCACTCGTTTCATACATAGAGAAAACTCGCTCGAGGACTCGCTCGTTCGCGATATGATACGGAAAAACTCGTGAATAAAAACGATATCGAGTTCTTAACATGTAATAATTTGTTTATTACACATTTAGGCTCGATATATAACACACGCAAAATGTTTTATTGTCTTAAATATCATTAACCGACTTACACCATTTCAAAATGTTAAAGAATTATACGTTTCCAATTCAATATCATTCAAGATATTAAAGCTTAATT